AGCAGATTGGGAAAAATTCTTTTGGAAAATTATGCTGTGTAAGCTTAAGGTATTCCAATTTATAAGGAAGCTAGCAAATTTAATTACTTTTGTAAATAAAGAAGAATGATTTTTCAGGGAGTGATTGGGTGATTTGTGTTTAAGATCTTTGAGATATGGGTTATTTTAGAAAAGGAAAGAAATTTTAGAAAATCTTCGTTAAATCTTCGACATTCATGGTATGTTGGAAGGGGGAAAGGAAGTTCGGTAAAAAAAAAAAAAAGGGAAAATTTATGGGCAAGTTTTAGTCCCCTTCGCTTGGCGTGCGACACTCGTGGACTGGGGGGCTGATGTTGGGCGGCATTTCCGGAATCATTAAATGTGCAATAAATTCAAAGGCTCGTCGGAGCCCAAGCTCTCCCAAGCCCAAGCAATCCCGAGCCCAAGCTCTCCCAAGCCCAAGCTCTCCCGAGCCCCTAAGTTCTCCGGAGCCCAAAGGCACGTCGGAGCCCAAGCTCTCCCGAGCCCAAGTTCTCCGGAGCCCAAATTTGTCAGAGCCCAAGCTCTCCTGAGCCCAAGCTTGCCGGAGCCGAAAGTTCAAAGGTCGCGTGATGTTATCAAGTGAAGTAATTGACGCTAATTGAAGACATTGAATGGTTGAAAGTTAATTCTCATTGATTATTTATCAGTTTTTACTCACAAAAAGGTGAAGAGCCTTATTGTAATTAAGAGAGAATAAACTCTCGAATTAATGGGAGAATTAACCTTCCTCAATCCTAATGTACTATAAATTCTCTCAATTTGAGAGGAAAAGACGGACACTTATTTCTGGCTACAATTGTCTTGTGATTGTCTTCATTTTGTTTTTGTTATTCCTTCAGAGGTTATTTGTGTTCTTCGAGTGTTCTTCCAATTTCCTTAGATAATTTACTTATTCAATCCGAATTATTAGTCTAGGGACGTTGGATAAGTGTTGGACGAAATTTTGCTTCAACACTTTTTATTCCCTTTTTCCTCTAAACGGCGTCTTCCCTATTTTATGCTCCATTTTGATCCACCATTTTCTTTTTTCTTTTGAACACAAGCTTTTCACGTTCGTTCCATTTCTTGCACCCAAAAAAGGTGAGAATGAGAGGGAAGGGTTTTGGAGAGGATGTAGATGGTTGATTTCTTCTCCTTTCTAGATTCTGTTAATTCATGATATGAAGAAGAATAGTAACAACAATGCAGAAAGTTGAACAAATTTCAAACCCCATTAAGATCAAACAACTAAGCTCTTAAGGAAAACCTCAATAATGTTAATGCAATAGTTGACTTTGGGTGTTTGCTGATTGTGTAGTTAGTGTAATGATTGACTTTGGATGTTTCCCTTTCTAGTATTCTGTAATCTATATATAAAGGCTCTAAGCATTCTTGTAATACACACACAAAAAATATAGAAATATAATTCTTTCTTCTTTTTTATGTGGATGACATGATTATTACATGAGATGATGCAGATGGTATTCGACATCTCAAGTCTTTTTTTCATTCTTATTTTTACATGAAAGATCTTGGTATGTTAAGTTACTTTTTAGGCCTTGAAGTCACTTCAGATTAAATAGGCCTACATTTATCACAAACAAAGTATGCTTCTGATCTTATTGCTAGAGCAGAACTGACATATAACAAGATTGCTCCTTCACCTCTCGAGCAGAATGTTCGGCTTTCTCCTTCTAATGGCACTCTCCTCACAAATCCAACCTTGTATCGAACTTTGGTTGGTAGTCTTGTTTACCTAACTGTTACCCGTCTTGATATTGCATCTGTTGTTCATTTGGCCAGTCAGTTCCTTTCTGCTCCTCGATTGACTCATTTTGCTGTCGTTCTTTGTATCCTGAGATATGTAAAAGGTACCGTGTTTCATGGATTGCATTTCTCATCTAGCTCTTCTTTGGATTTAGAATGTTATTGTGACGCAGATTGAGCAGGAGATCTTACAGATCGTCGATCTACCATTGACTACTGTTTCTTTCTTGGTTAGTCACTTATTTCTTGGTGAAGTAAAAAAGCAAATTGTTGTCTCCCGCTCAAGCACTGAGGCTGAATATCGAGCTCTTGTAGATGCAACATCCGAACTACTATGGTTACGATGGCTCCTTAATGACATGGGTGTTTCTCATTGTTCAAGCACTCTCATTCATTGCGACAATTAGAGTGCTATTTAGATAGCTCATAATGATGTCTTTCACGAGTGCACTAAACATATTAAGATCGGCTGTCACTTCGTTCGTCATCATTTGCCCAATAAAACTCTTCAACTTTTCCTGTTGCCACTATATCCCAGAAGGCTGACATTTTCACCAAGTCAAATCCACCTGGTCAATTTCTTGCTCAAGTTTCCAAACTCAAGTTGGCTTCTACAATACCGTCTTGAGTTTGAGGGGGGTGTTAATGCAATAGTTGACTTTGGGTGTTTCTTGATTGTGTAGTTAATGTAATGGTTGACTTTGAATGTTTCCTTTTCTAGTATTCTGTAATCTCTATATAAAGGCTCTAAACATACTTGTAATACACACACAAAACATACAGAAATACACTTCTTTCTTCTTCTTTATCAAATAAGAACCTCACATAATTCAACAAATTCATAAATCGCTACCTTTGATCATGGGTTCTCTCTTCTGATCTTAACAGAACCGATTATAATTATCTGGTAAACGAAAAAAATTAATACAAGACCTGGTAATTATTTACCTGTTAATTAATAGAAACCTTCAAATTTGAATTTCGATCAGACCCAGAAAAGATAGGAAGAAATCAACCATTCCTTAGACGAAAAACCCGTTTTCTCTTTCAAAACACCCAACGGCTTGTGCCCATCTTTTTCTCTTTTTCTTCTGGTTTGTTTCTCTAGGACAAGACATAAATGTCATGTTTGAAATTGTTCTTGTTTTTGTTTTTTACGTTTTTCGAGAAAAAAAAATGAAAATAATTTTAAAATGGCGTTTGGCATAATTAAAGACAAAAAACAGAAATAAAAATAATTTTTTAGTTTAGTGTAAAATGAGAGAAATGAAAAACGACTAAAAGTCATTTTTTATTTTTTGTTTTCGTTTTCTCCTCTCTTGAGCAAAGAGAGACATTAATGAGTTTTTTAACTTGAAAATAATCTCTTGATAAAACTACCAAACGCATTTTCAAAAATAATTTCTGTCTGAGATTGAAAACGTTTTCATTTCCATTTTCATACAAAAAGCAAAATCATTTTGAAACGAGTTCCAAACGCGCCCAAAACTTTCCTCTTCACGTTTTAAAATTAGTAATAACACCTCCCACTAACGCTGTCAATTTAATGTTTTAAATCCTACCGAGAGTCTTTCAGATCAACCGAATCAACACCGTTGGTCTTTTAGTTATGGATAATGCAAACAATACATAGAACAAACACTAGGGGCCCATTTAGTTGCCCGTTGCAGTTTAGAAGTTATATTCAAATTATAATTTTAATTTTGACATTTTAAATTCTAATTTTTTTTGAGAAAAAAATAATATAGCATAATCAATAATTTTAATTTGTGTATATGAAATAAACATGCCTTGTAATTCTGATTTATTAGTAGGAATATTATGAGGATACTATTAGTGAAAATTTTTTGAATTTAAATTCTTTATAAAAAAAAAAACACTGTAACAGAATTAAAATTATGAATTTAATCAGGAATGAGCCCTTAAGAATGGAACAGATTAAAGATTAGAAAGAAAATAATTAATCTTATACTTTAGATTTCAAAAATAACGAAATATAGGTAAGTTTTTATTGACTTTGATTATCCATATATGTAAGTCTTTAAAAGGCATTGATTACATCGATCATCCATATAATAAATGCTTTTTAAAATTTAGAGATTATTTATTGGAATTAATTTCTACTTTTTGTATTATTTTAGTTTTTAAAATTTATATGTTTTTAATTTTAACCACTTCATTTTCATAAATCTTATTAAATATTTAGCACTTATATAAGAATAATCAAAATTGTAATAAAATAAAATTTTAGAAACCAATCCTGAGACGAAATTTTAAAGAGTATTTGTGAAATTAATCCTAATAAACAAATTTTAAAAGTAAATAAAGGAAAAAAAAAAAGAAAGAGACTAAAAAAACAAAAATAATAAATAAAAAAAAAAGATTGAAGTGGTGACACTGGCTATAATGTGTGTATGTTTCTGATCGCTTGTGTTTGAAGATGAATGGCGGCAGAATTCACATCAAAAATGCCATTAAACAAATCAAAAACCTGGGGACCTATTTATAACCACCACGAGAAATGGAAAATGTGTGGAAATCTTGGTCCTACTTCCCCAAAGCTACCTCCTAATTAAATAAATTCATTTATTAAATCCATTAGCAAATAAATAAATAAAACAATAAATAAATACTCTTTAAAACCTGGAAATGGTGAATGGTGATTGGTCCCTCGTCTTCAATCCCAGTCCATTGTTTAGCAATCAATCGCGGACAATGATTGTTGCCGGCGAGCTGTTCAACAAAAAGCCTGAGACAAAAAAAGGACATCATTTTTGCCATTCTAATCATATCATTACCCTTGTCTCCACGCCCAGTCCTCGGCCGGCTAAAGCCCCGACGATCCTTACACACGACAAACGACACGCCCTCCTTTTTTTTGGTCGTTTCCCATGTCTGTTTCCTTTACCTTTTACATTGCTTGCTTTAAAAACAACTAACGCTTTTCTTTTCTCTTTTTTACTTTGGCGATTTTGCCGTCGTGATCTGTGTTCCCTTTTGGAAAACAATTTCAAATGTGATTTTTTTTTTGAAGAGGCAAAAAAAAAAAAGAAAAAAAAAAAGTGTTTTTGGGAAGTCGTAGCTGTAAAGGCCCACTCTTTGGGCAAACGACCCTCACTTGACTCTGTGGACTAGGATACCTACTACCTCTCTTGGCATCTTTTATAACCTTTTTTGGTTTTTTTTTTTTTCTTTCTTTACTTTGTCTAAAATAAAAAAGGAATAATTTTGGGTGTCCAACCTCCACCACCTAGATGAAGAACTCTTGGTAGAGAGAGAGAGAGAGAAAGAGATAGAAGAAAGGAGAGAGAGAGAGATCTTTGTTTGGCTTGCTCAGCCATGGCTCCAGCTGGGAAGGATTCTGGGTTTCACCGAGAAGGAAATGAATGGTACTTTCTCTAATCAAAAACTTCTTTGCACATCATAACTTAACAACCCATTTCTGTTTTTCCCTTTTACAAAAAAAAAAAAAAAATTGGGTTGATTTTTTAAACTGAGTTATGGGGTTCTAGAATACTTTAAACCCCAGAAGATTTTGATAAAATCCAGTTGTTTGCTTCTTTTCTTAACTTTAGTAGCATAATTTTCATTCAACAGCTACAATTGAGTCAAATTGACCCTTGTTCTCTCACTAACTAGGCTGACCATATTCCTTATGTCATAAGGAGAAGAAACTAGAAAGTGATGATAATATTGATCGATTTACATGAGTTTTGGGGATAATTCATACTTTTTGATTGGTTTGCAAGGTTCTACAAAGCGGGATTGCCTAGCGATATAATTGTCTCGGTGGATGGCGTAAATTTCCATCTTCACAAGGTATGGCAACTGCCATTTTACCTTCGTAAATAGTATATTTTAGAACAAATAAACTCACTTATGTTATGTTTCTTTTCCATGTAATTATGCTATGATTAATCTGTAACTTTTTTTTTCTCCTGATGATTAATCTATAACTTTAAATATGTTCGTATGGGAAGCTTGTCTTTTGTCAATTTAGAAGGTAAAGTTTATGCAACCCAGTAACATTACTTGAGGTTGAAGTTTAATGGTACAAGTAAGATATGTCGTCATATATGTGTGTGTGTGTGTGTGTGTGTGTGTGTGTATGTATGTATATATATGTATATTCTTTGATGATGAGCTGTCCTTGATCACTTGTTATTTACTTGTCATTACTTGGGTAGATGAGGGCACTTAGCGGTCTTTAAGCCTCTTTAGCTACTTCTTTGGTCCGTGTTTCTATCAGAATTGATTTGGTTGTTGGCCCTATGTTGAGGTGTTATTAGTGTTACTCCGTTCACCATATAAAAAAAAAAAAAAAAATTTCAGTGGTTCTTTTTCTTTTTTCCCCCTTTCCGGTAGTTTGATGCTCTTTAGACCTTTTAGATTTTAGCATTTAGCTTTTCTTTTTCGAATGTGTTTGTTTTGTCTTTTTATTATAGAACTACTTTTAGCTAGCAATGATGATTTCATTCGTTTTGGTTGACTGGATCAGTGATAGTATATTATGAGCTTGCCCAACATAATTATACAAATTTTTCAATACAGAACTTTCCTCCTCTTAATGCAAGAGTGATGAAAATATTGATGAAATTATCTATTAGAATTATGCAATAACGATGAGAATTTAAGGCTATTGACCTGCCTATGTATGTACTCTCCAGTTTCCTCTCATGGCAAAATGTGGAAAGATGGCACGGATATACGAGGAATCCCAAAGTACCCATGTAAAGATTCTCACTACAGTTCTGGAAGAGTTCCCTGGTGGTCCTGACACTTTCTTGATTGTGGCTAAATTCTGCTACAGTGTCAAGATAGAATTGACTCCGAGAAACACAACAATGGTTTATTGTGCAGCAGACTACCTTGAAATGACAGAAGAGTATGGTGAAGGCAACTTACTCTCTAAGGCCGAGAGTTTCTTCTATAAAAGCATACTGCGCAATTGGAAAGATTGCATCTTGGCTCTCCAAAGCTCTGAGCCTGTGATGCACGGAGCAGAAAAGCTCCAGATCATAAGCAGAAGTTTAAATGCTCTCTCCGTGATGGTTTGTACCGATCCTAGTTTGTTTGGGTGGCCCATGATGATGTACGGTAGTTTACAAAGCCCCGGTGGAAGCATCCTATGGAATGGAATAAACACCGGTGCAAGAATTCAGAGTTCAGAATCAGACTGGTGGTTTGACGACATCTCATATCTCAGCATTGTATTGTTCGAGAGACTTATCAAGACGATGGAAGTAAGGGGTCTAAGACCTGAAAACCTAGTAGGTGCTATAATGTACTATGCCAGAAAGTACCTTCCTGGTCTGGGCCGATGGCACAGCGGACAAAGTAGCATACCTAGAACAGTTGCGAGTTTTAGTTTGAAACCCGTTGCTCCTGATCAAAGGGTTGTGTTGGAAAGCATTGAAAAGCTCCTTCCCCAGAAAAAGGGGAAATCCTTCTGTCGTTTTTTACTAGGACTGCTTCGTGTCGCATTGATACTGGGAGTTGATCAAACATGCAAGGATTCTTTAGAGCAGAGAATAGGGGTGCAACTGGAATTGGCAACCCTTGATAGTGTGCTGATTCCTTCGTATTCAGACGCTGACACATTGTATAATACGGACTGCGTTCAAAGGATCATCCATCATTTTATGTCGACGGAATCAAGGATTGAGTCGTTTTCTCCGACATCATTGGACATGGAAACATCACCATCATCTGGGCCAATAAGAAAAGTTGCTAAGCTTATAGATAGCTACATTGCGGAGGTTGCTTCCGATGTGAATTTAAAGCCCACAAAGATCCGCTCTTTGGCAGAGGCCATCCCAGGGTCTGCAAGATCTTTGCATGACGGGCTGTACCGAGCACTGGATATATACTTCAAGGTTTGATTCTAGACCGAATAATGAAACAAAGGATGTGTTGCCAACATCAGAAAAATGTTTGGAATTTGAATAAAAAGCTAACAGCATTGTCGCATTGTTGCAGGCACACCCTTGGCTCCCAGAGAAAGAGAAGGAAGAACTTTGCAACATTATTGACTTCCAGAAACTCTCTATTGATGCGTGCGCCCACGCATCCCAAAACGAAAGATTACCGCTTAGAATCGTTCTTCAAGTCCTGTTCTTTGAGCAGATGCATTTGAGGACGGCTCTAGCTGGTTGCCTTCATGTCCTGGACGCTGAAAGTGCCCCTGCAGCTCCAGCGACTGTTCCTGTTGAAATGGCTGGCCAGATTGTGCAGAGAGACGGGTGGGTGACTGTGGTGAGGGAGAACCAGGTTTTAAAGGTGGACATGGAAAGGATGAGGTCTAGAGTTGGTGAGCTTGAGGAAGAATTCAGTAAAATTAAGCAGGAGATGAAAAAGGTGAGCAAATCACATAGCTCCCTCAGTTCTCCTCGCCTGGTTGCTCGAAAAATCGGGTGTAAGCTTCTTCCACGACCGTCTGATGCTCAACGAGAGACTCTTGAAATTACCGAGCCTACTCCTAGAGCATCATCAGTTGAGAAGGCGCGCTCTTCCAATCATTCTAGACACCGGAAAAGTTTCTCATTGTTTTAAGTGCTGCTATAAGAGGACTGTCTTCTGCCATGATGACTAAAGACTCTGTTTGGTCCTCAGAAAGTTTGGAAAGAGGGAAGGACCGTTTTTATGGTTAAATTCTTTTTTTGGTATATTGGAAATTTTGCGCAATTTCTTTCTATTCCTTCCCTTCGGATTTTCTGCGAACCAAACAGAGAGTAAAAGATGGCACCGCCCAAAGAGGCTATTTGCGACGAAATTGTTTTCATTTGTCTAATGGGGAATGGCAGCTTCTTCGCCTTTGAGGCTTTGAGCCTGGCATTGATGATGAGCCCAAGATTGAACTCAAAAGTGTATACAAGTAAATATACCTTGTTTTACATATATAGGAAAGAGAATTCGTTGAATGTTTTTCAGTTTTGGCGTTTGTTTTCTTCACTTGGCCTTTATACATGTACATCTTTGTGAAACATGTTTGTAAAAATTTATCAAATAGTGGGAACATATAAAGATTCTTGTTACCATTATCATATGTCTAAGCTTTTTAATTTTAGTTGCTTTCCCTTTGGTCAATTGACTTCCCATAGCAAACTCCATACTAAGATTTTGAAGAAGTCGCATTCAACGGAATGAGTATCTGAATAAAGAAAATTATTCCTGTAGAAAGTTCATCCTCTGTGTAAATGAGATCGTTATATTGAGTATTTCATTCACAATCTTGATTTTTATCTGCTTGTTTATTTTATATACAGGATGAGTTCTTAATGGATAACATTTCCATCGGTGGTTACCCATCAGATATAGAAATTTGAGAACGGTCATAAATTTTTTTAGTCAATTATTCAAGTTATATAACCGTTAAATCAATTTCTCATAGTTAAAACAATAATATCCATTGATGAGTTTAAAACCATACCTCTATATATATATATATATATACATATACATGATATATATATATATTGATTGATTATTAAACCATGACAAAATTTGTGATAGTAAGCCATACTATCCCTAAATAAGTTTGGTTATTATTTTTCTTTTTCTTAATCATGGCCAGCCCAATGGAATAATATATGATGCTTTTGGAGTGGTCCCAAATACTAATAATGGCATTGATATTTCCTCCTCAAGTTCCATGCACATTCCATCATTTGTTTATTGTGTATAGCTGGCTTTCAAATCTTGAATGTTTTGGTATTGATTTCATTGTCGGTCTAAGTACCAGTCTCAATGATGATATTAAGGAGAATGTCTAGTTCACAATTGGGAACACATTCATGCAAACCTACTCAGGAAAAAAAAAAATCCACAGAAATATGATGTCGATGTGGGCGTTAGTTTTAAGGTACAAAACTTCAATTCACCCAAAAAAAAAAAGTACAAAACTACAGTTCAAGGAGACATTTGGTAGCGAGCCATGAATCATAATTATTTTTTATGAGAGAAAACACTCTAACGAACCATGAACTATGATTCGAATCAATGTACGAATCTCTTTACTAAACACACCCTTAACTTTTAAAAAAAAAAAAAAAAAAACACCATTTAAGGCTATGTACCAACCAATCATCACTGGAGCTCTCAGAGGTAGGTAATTAATTACATTGATTTTAGCTCGACTTAAATTGAGATTAATTATCTTAAAAGTATTCTAAAAAAGCAAAATCTTTGAGCATGAGTGTGATCGTGAAAGGGCCAAAAACAAAATCCTTTGGAAAAAAAAAAAAAAAAAAAAAAAAAAAAAAACTTTAGAGAACACAAAAAAAAAAAAAAAACCTTCTGCATCAACCTTTTTTAAACTAGTCCTCGATGTTTAGTAGAGGGATTTGTTCCCTGATTCGAATCATAATTCATGATTCGCTACAGTATTTTTTTTCACAAAAAATTCACGTAAATAAAAAATAGTTCGAATCACATGGTTTGAATCCTTCAACCAAACGTATATCTACCCTTTATTGAAAAAAGAAAAAATAAAAATTTCACTTTTAATCTATGAACTTCAAAATATTACAAATTGACTCTAAACTACGCTCATAGTCTCATGTTTAGCCATTTAATCACAAAAGCTGTTAAAAGTTCAACAGAATCAGCCCTGTGACCGCTTATTAATTGTTAATGAAGGGCATTTATAAATCTTGCCTCTAACTTTAATTGAAATGAAATTGACCCTCACATTCTTTATTAATGAACAAGCTTGTGTAAAGAGAGACCATGCCCTTTTCTCTCTCTTCTTTTGTTTTTTAATTTTTAAAGTTCCGTTCATTTCACCGATTCAAATTTAGAATTCGAGTTTTACTACAGTAAAAAACTCTCAGAAATAGTCACATTTAACTTTTTTATTACAGTATAAAACTCTCACATAAAGTCACATCTCAACTCAAATTAAAAACTCGAATCAACGAACTAAACGGACCCTAAATTTATTTAAGCGAGATTTGTTTTAAATACCCTTCATGTGAATGTCTTACAGTTGATTCTGTTGAGGTTTTAATGTTTTATGTGATTGAAGGGCCAAGCATAAGACAATAAGCATAGTTTAGGATATAGTTTTGTAACATCTTAAAGTTCATGGGCAAAAATTGAACAAGAAACATATTTTGGGAGCAAAAGTAAAGTTAACCCTTGAAAAAAACAAACAAACAAAAGCAATTCAATCGTTGTTTTTTTGGAAAATCGAATAATACGTTCTCACTAGAGGGACATAAAAATAAAAAATAATAGCCACGTAATTTTGGTGAGGGACATAAAGAAGAAAAAAAAAGGTATATCTGATTGTTTCTTGAGAAAAGGGACATAAATAAAAATTATAAGATTTTTGTTTTCACTTATTTGATTATATATCAACCTAAGAAGCACATTATTCTAAGCAAATACAAGTATAAAACTGAGCTCTTATTTAATTCGTTTGGTTTGAATTGTGTTGATTTAAACTTTTTTTATTTAAATAAAAATAATCTGAACAATGTGATTTAAATATTAGTCTGATATTAGCATTTGATTGTGCATTTAAAGCTTTAATTCGAATAGAGAATATAATCTAAATTAGTATTTAGATGAGTCTTAAAAATGATGTAAATTTGAACAAAATTGGCATTTGAATTGGAAGCAATTTTAATTGTGATATTGTTTGTAATTGAGTAAAAAATTAATGTATATGGCTTTAAAATTAAAAAAAAATGATAATGCGTTAGAAATAAACAACCCGCATAAATTTTTTTGAAAAATATATAATTAACGTATATCATTTTGGATAATACAATTTTTGTTGAGCGTTTTGTGTGGGCATTTAAAAAAAAAAATTATGATGCATAGGAACGAATACAACAACTAAAAACAATATAATCTAATAAAAAGTTAACGCCAATTACCTACAGAAGAAGTCCAAAATTTTTGTGCGCGTTTTCTAATTGTGTAGCTTTTCTTTTCTTTCTTTTTTTTTATTTTTTTATTTTTTAAAGTTAGTTGTTAAGAATGCCAAACATGTATGGAAAATTAATATTATAACAGAGAAAAAAAGGGAATCTCTAGATATAGAACAAGCAAAAATCTGAAAAGTATAATTGTTTAACTGTAAAAAAAAGAGGTTGGAAATGATGAATTGAGGGGAGGTTAAATTCAGACTTCAACTGTTTCAATTTAATTTGAATGGACCATTAAAGTGTAATTAGTGTCATTTTTAAACACTAATTATAAATGTGATTAAGATTGAATTGGATTAAAATGGACTGAATTGCCCAACCGAACACGAGCTAAGAGTGTTTAGTTGGAGAGAGAATGGTAGAACAAGAAAGATTAGTGAGATAGGCAATCTATTATGAGAGGGGGTGAGCCTTTCATTAATTGAATGATTCATGCATTCCATCAATTAAATTTTTAAAAATAGTGTTTTATCCTTCAAACAAATTAGTATGAAATAGTAAAAAGGATAAATTTAATTAAATAAATAATATTTCATTTATATTTTCAACTCTTCCTTTTTTTTTTTTTTCCAATGACAAGACTAAAGATCATTATAATCCTCTCCGACTTTTAAATTTTTAATCCTCCAATTCTTTTTATCCGTCCGAGTGAAGTTAATTTTTAGAAAAACAAAAAAAAAATATAAATGTTTTATCCTCCAAACCAAATATATGAAATAGTAAAAAGGTAAATTCAATTAAATAAATAATTTTTCGTTTATTTTTTCAACTCTTCCTTCTTTTTACTAAACAAGATTAAAGATCATCATAATTCTCTCCGACTTCCAGATTTCCAATCCTCCAATTCTCTTTGTCCGTCCGACCGAAGTTAATTTTTAGAAAAGCAAAAAAAAAAAAAAGTGTATATTTGTTTTCTAATAAGTGGACTTTTTTTTTAAAATGTAAACATTAAATTAATTACGGAAGTTCATTTTCACAAGCGTCGCTTTGGCCGAGTGGTTAAGGCGTGTGCCTGCTAAGTACATGGGGTTTCCCCGCGAGAGTTCGAATCTCTCAGGCGACGAATTTTTGGCCCCCACTTTTTAATCACAATAACATCTCTCAAGTCTCAACCAATAGAATATTGACGCTTCGCCGATTATCATAGTCCACGCCGCACCAAATTTCCACTTACTTCGGGCTTCTTCTTCTTCCTTTTTTTTTTTTTTTTTACTTCGGTTAACACTTCACTGTACACTCATCAGTCATCACTTCAGACATTTCAGTCTTCACGACATTTTTCCTCTGTCCCAACAAAACAAAAACAAACGACACAACAACCAGCAACACCTGACTCTGCCGCAGCTCTCCCTAACGAGATGTCGTTTTGCTCGACCCGCCTCACTCCGTCGCCGTCCAACCTCCATCGCTCATACGTTTCTACGGGGCAGTGCGGTGGTCGCCTCCACCACCAGAGCGTCGCCTTCGACGTTAGGGTTTTCGAGTGTCCCGGGAGGTGGAACTCTACAAAGCTGACGCTAGCTTTTCGCCAGTTTTCGACGATCGAAAATCTCTCGTTTGGTCCGAAGTGCGTGGGATCGGGATCCATTTCCAAGACGATCGTCGAGGAATCCGGAGACTCCGAACCGAGAATCGTTTACGGCGACGGCGATGACGGAGGGAGTGGTGGCGGCGATTCTTTTGGCGGAGGAGGTGGTGGAAATGGCGGCGATGACGAAGAGAAAGAGGAGTTTGGGCCGATTTTGAAGTTTGAGGAGGTGATGAAGGAGGCGGAAGGTCGGGGAGTGAGTCTTCCTTCCGACATGGTCGAGGCGGCGAAGACGACGGGAATTCGGAAAGCTTTCCTCTTTCGCTACTTGGATTTGCAGGTGAAATTTTTTCGATTCTGTTTTTCTAGGGTTTAATCTCGTACTATCTGTAGCTTTTTTTTTTTTTTTTTGGTGAGAAAAATTAGCTAAGCTTCATGTCGAAATCGAATGTGAACTTCAAAAGATTGTTTGGTTAAGTTTGGTTTTACTGCTGTGGATATCTAATGAATTTTAGAAAAGCAATAGTTGAAAGATTATTTTAGTCATTTCCTTATATTATGAAAGTTAATTCTGGCTCCAAACTCCAAAGGATATGCTTCTTTTGAGGAATAAAGGGAAATATTACCTTTCCATAATTTATTTATTTAGATTTTTGATTCTGTTTGATTGTTATAATTTAGGAAGTGGACAGAGTTTGAACTTCTGTTAACTCGGCGAAGTGATGAAAGTTAGCGTTTGTAAACTTTCAGACCCGTTTGGTTTGTGTACTTGAACCTATGATTCTGATTTTATTATAGTGTTTTTCATTTTACAAAGAATATTAGTTCAAATATTTTTTTTCTGACAAAATTCCCGCCAATGAATCAGAATCAAGAATCACCGACTTAAACGCGTGAACCAAACAGACGCCAGTTTTTAACACAGGATGTAGTTTTTTTTAAAGTGCTTTAATTGCTTTTCACAGGGATCAATTTGGCCATTGGGGTTTCTCATGAAGCACTGTTCAATGCTACGGGATCGAATGCTGGCTGATCCTTCGTTTCTGTTTAAAGTTGGGACAGAGGTTTGTTATGGGTAATTTTTATTTGGATCTGCAGGAAATTTTATATTTTTTTTAGTGTTCTTTAGGTTATTAGAGAGTGCAGGCGAGAATCTGAACAGAAATTTACCCTTTTTTGTAGCTTGTTTAGGTTGTCGGTTTTTCTTGCACTTTTTAGAAAGTTTCTAGATTGCGGGGTTTTCAGTTTCTTGAATCCTGAAGAAGCTCTCATTGATTTCATTCGGTGTAGGTAGTCATAGATTCTTGTTGTGCAACATTTGCAGAAGTCCAGAAAAGGGGAAAGGATTTCTGGGCAGAATTTGAGTTGTATGCTGCTGATCTTTTAGTTGGTGTGGTGGTTGATATTGCTTTGGTGGGTATGTTAGCGCCCTATGCTCGAATAGGGAAGCCATCCGTCTCAAAAGGTTTATTTGGAAATATAAGACATGCTTGCGCAGCACTGCCTAGCAGGTAAGCATCTTATGGTACAATATCAGGATGAGTAAGATGCTGAATCTATCTAAAAATTTTGATTAGCATTATCCAACTTGCTTTTCCCTATTTTTTGTTTCTCTCAGTTGTCTCTTCTTCTTTTATCTGGTAATTATAGTTATTCATCAAAAAAATTCATTACAGCTGTCAATAATTAAAACGCTTGTCTTCAATAGTATTACTAAGCCTAAAAAAAGTTAAGACCAAACATCTTGTGAATTGTCCATGCCTCTTCCAAGTTGTGTTCCCGGATTCTTTACACTTATTGGAGCTCACTTATATTGTGCTTTAGTTTTATCTTATTTGATAGAGATTGCTAAGACAGTAGTTTTCTTCATTCTTCTTTGTTTTTATCTCTTTTTATCCCTTCTATGTCATTATCTTTAGGTTGCCTTTCGGGAAAAATAGATGATGCAATCATTAGACTAATAGGGAGGGGGGAAAAGATGCAATCAGGGTAGTCATAACTGTATTCTATGGCTTTTATAGACGACCTTAGGCTAACACTTTCAATGAATCGCATTTCTGTACATAATTTGCTTAAGTTGTACCATTCCCTCTTATGTAGTGTCTTCGAAGCTGAAAGGCCAGGATGTAAATTTACAGTGAGTCAACGAATCGCTACATACTTCTATAAGGTACGAATCGTTACATATTTCTATAAGGTACAATATTGTCAATAAGAGCCACTGATAAAAAAAATTAAAAAAAAAAGAGTTGTGGATGATTAATCTTGAATAGAATATTGGTGGGTACAATATCAAATAGAGTTTTTACTTGATGATACTTTCTCTGAAAAGCCAGTTTTCATACTTTACTTTTTGTACCTTGCATTGTCTCCAAGGCTCAAATTCTGCATCTACTAATGCCATGTTGCTCATAGTTCAATTTATTGGCACCTTTTGGATCCAGGGAGTGTTGTATGGATCGGTTGGGTTTGGATGTGGTCTTATTGGCCAAGGCATTGCAAATATGATCATGAATGCTAAACGGTATGGTTTGATTACATGTTCTTACTGTTGGCTTGCATATATATCCTTCTCTGAACATAGTTGTCATGTGGACTTAGTACTCATTTAGATGCTATAACTTGTGTTGTTGATGGAAGTTTTCGTGAATTATCAGGAGCGTAAAGAAATCGGAAGAAGATATACCTGTGCCACCTCTCTTTGGAAGTGCTGCTCTTTGGGGTATGTTTGCATTTTTCATCCAGATTTAAATTTCTTGCCATTACACACGTTCGAAACTATTTTCTGTGCTCTGCGTTTTCTTCTGGTGACTCTTCATAGAAAAAGTCTTGATTCCTTAATTTATCCGCCCATTCATACATCAACTTTAGTGGCATACCAAGGGAAAAGGCAGTCCTTTCCTTCTAGGGATGCACCTCTGTCATAGTATACCTCTCTTCCTCTTCAGAAAAACAGAGAGCAATACATGACGAAAAACCTTTCCTTGTGATTCATCACTTATCGGTTTTCCCTTTAATCAGGTGTTTTTCTGGCCGTGTCTTCAAACACTCGTTATCAAATCGTTAATGGACTTGAACGGCTGGTTGAAGCATCGCCTTTGGCGAAACAGGTCCCACCTGCTGCAATGGCATTCACAGTTGGTGTGCGATTCGCCAACAATATATATGGTGGCATGCAGTTTGTAGATTGGGCTAAATGGAGTGGAGTGCAATAGATACAAATAACATGTTTCTTTTCTTAAATATCAAATGAGCTATAGATTTTTCATTTTTGTTTTTTCCTTTCATGAGTAATTTTCTTTAGATTAGGTTTTGAATTTCAGTCATATAGTTGTCCTTTATTTGTTGTACCTTTTTATGCCATAATGGCATGCACTACATTTTTGCAGGTCTCAGTCTCAAACAATTATCTTTTAAAAAAAAAAAAAAACTTAAAAACAAAAAAGCTAGATATCTCTTTACCTGCTTGTTTTAAGCCATTCTTTGTTGCCCATCACTTCTTTTGGCACAATGGGCTTACTTGGTGATGCCCACTATAAGAAAAAATGAATAGTCAAGTCCCAAGACCACATTTGCATCCACAATCTTTATTTTTTATTTTTTATTTTTCCCCTCTCTTCTTCACTTGGCCTAAAGCATTTAAAATAAAATTGACTCATGGTCGTAAGTGTAGCCATGTCAAGTTCTATGTCTGTTCATTAGGAAAAGAGAAGATACTCTCTAAAAAGTAAAACCTATATAGACATGCCTTAAGTCTGCTTTGCATCTTCTGATTCCTGTCGAGTTAAGGATCCGTTTAGTTTGTTGATTTGAGTTTTTAATTTGAATTGAAATGTGACTTTATGTGATAGTCTTTTACTATAACAAAAAAGTTAGATGTGACTATTTTTTAGAGTTTTTTACTGTAGTAAAACTTAAATTTTAAACTCGAATTAGTGAAATGAACTGAGCTTTATTTTTATGATGTAAATTTTAGGATTACGTGGAAAATATACGTTTGATTTTTCATCTCATGGCATTAGATGAAAAAACGTCCGTACTCTCTTATTCATAAAAGAAATCAAAATTAAATTGATATTTTGCAATTAACTATTCATCACTTTTCTTCTGTTCCAAGTGTGATTCTAGTTAGCTTTTTGTCCCTCGTGTGGAGGACTTGTTCTTTTACTCTTTTTGAGTTAGGTGACTGGAGTGTAGATTTGAGTTGAATTTGAGTTATAACTTGAGTAGAAGTTGTAACTTGAGTTTGTGTTTGATTGTGTACATTTACGCCTCGTTCATTTCGCTGATTTGAGTTTAGAATTCAAGTTTTGTTACAGTAAAAAGCTCTCACAAACAGTCACATCTAACTTTTTTGTTACAGTAAAAAGCTCTCACAAACAGTCACATCTAACTTTTTTGTTACAGTAAAAAGCTCTCACATAAAATCACATCTCAACTCGAATTAAAAACTCGAATCAGCGAACTGAACGTTAAATTATGGTTTGAGATAAAAATCTTTTTGAGTTTGTGTTTGAGTGAGTCAAAACTTGAATTTGTATTTAGATAGTATTTTAATAAAAACTCAATGCTGATGGAAACTTTTAATAGGGTATATGGGTGGGGTTTTATTCGTCTTTTCGTTGTTAACGCATAAAAAAAAAGCATCTCAATAAGAATTAAAACGAAAAAGTTATAGCATTTTTAAGAATAGAAAAAATATTGTTCATTAATTTGAGTCTGAACTCGAGTTGAAGGAAAAACTTGAACTTGAGTTTTAGTCCTAAACTCGAGTTCAAACTTAAAAGAACATCAACTTGAATAAAGTTGTAACTCGAGTTACTTTTTTTGAGTTTTTAACTCAAAAACTCACTGCTCGAACAAGCCCCCGCGTTTGCTCTAAAATCTCAGCAAAAAATTCTTAAGTGTTAAAAATGCTTTTGAGGTTTTCCTTGATACTCACTTTTAGGTCCGTTCATTTTACCGATTCGAGTTTTATTACAGTAAAAAGTTTTAAAAAACAGTCACATTTAATTTTTTTATTATAATAATAAGTTCTCATATAAAAATATATATCAATTTAAATTAAAAACTCCAATCAACAAACTAAACGGTTAGAATACAAGTTTAGCTGCCTCAGTACAAACATACATGGTTGTCTTTCACTAGTTTTTGCACCTAGACTACTCTAGTCTTCAAATTGAGTTTCCGATTCGTCTTTAATCCGTTTCTTTTGAAATTTGCACCTAAGGTACTCTAGTCTTCAAATAAGTTTTTGCAAACTCCAACTGCAACTTTCTATTTTTCAAGTTTTTGACATGAAACCTTAAAAACTTTGCACTATAGTAGGGTTTTCTATAAAATTTTTAGATTTTCTAAAGGGTTTCTCTTTCCC